TCACGCCGCAATAGAGCAATCGAGGTGATTTTTTGCAAAGAGACAATATACGAAAAGGAGAATAGCACCAGCTACCTTTTATCCTGCTATTATGGTTTCTACACAATTTTCTAATATCTATTTAATATTTCCTATAAAACCTTTATGTACAACCCAAAAAAATATTTTCTACCTACAATCGAATCAACATAAAACGCTTAAATACAATTTAAATTAAGAAACTAAACAAAAAAGGCAATAAAGGGCTATCTATATATCTCACCGTCCAATTAATGTCCCAGTTAACTACGAAGCGTGCTACGGAAGCTTTAACTTAGACACCTTTGCTTATCTTTTACAAACAATTAAAGCGTGCCTTATCGCAGTCGGTCGTGTCCGATCAGAAACAAATAGCAGGTATATCAACGCACTCGTTACACGCTTTTGCAGAATTCATACAAATCGTTTCTAGATCCCCAACGCAGCTGTCCTTTACGTATTTATACTATGCGATTTTTTTTTTAATTTTAGGTATTTTTCATGCAAAATGACGTTTTTTCTCATAATAAATTATTTCTTTAAATATATAGAAATTCGTAAATAAATGTGAATAGGGGTTTCTGTAGGTTAAATGATAGGAGAAGAACGTATTAAGTAATTTTAATAGGATTTTCACTAGCGGGTAAACGATTTGATTGAGTATTAAACACTATTTTTGTTGTAGCACTAAGCGAGCTGCGGAGTTTCAAAGCAAACTTATGTCTATTGCTGTATACTACTGCTTGGCAAAAATAGCCAAAACTTCCATAATAAGAAGACCATAATTTTAAACATAAATTATTTTCATAAAATAACTTGTAAAAATCGTTACGTCGTACCGACTAAAAGCCCTCACGCATATGAAGTGCCTACAGCGAATGCCTTTTAATATTTTAAAGTTCATTTTATTTTATGGTTCGAAATAAAACCCGGTCAAGTACCAAGTACCAACCGGACTTACGGGTCGAAGCTCTATTAACCTTTCCGCGTCGAAGTTTTTACGTAAAGCTTAGTTAAAGCTTATTTTTGTTAGGAATGTGACTTGGCAAAAACAATGAGCTTAGTACCATGATTTTCTTATCGTCCAATAGTTCAGAGGTTAATTGCAATAGAAATATAGAAGAATTTGAAATAACGAAGAAAAGGGTTGAGTGATTAACTTCACCAATTTATGGTATGATTCTTTACGTAAAAGAAATTATATATATATATATATATATATATATATATATATATAATATAACATTTACGTGAATATTTGACAATTAAAATAAAACTATCGCTTTCGGAATTTTCGCGTATTTATTTTGATGTTTGGTTTCCGATGTTTCGAATGCTTTACAGCAATCATGGTCAAGGGAGAGACTGCAACTTCCGGGACCAGATATATATTGTATATTTAAGAGTTTTACATTTAATATATTAAGTCTTTAAGGAATATTTATATATGTATATATTACATATTGTTATTGGTACATTATTGTATGTCGGTCCTGTTGTTAGTCGCTGGCAGTTTCATAAGTTATGAATAATTACAACAACAACAGTGTTTATATTATTTTTACTGATTAAGAAAAAAATATACGTTTTGAATTTTTAGTAAAATTAAAAAAAAAAAATTTCAAAAAAATTTTTTACGCAATGGTATTGAAGAATAGTTTTTGCATTTCGTGTATAATATGGGACGCACTTTTTAAAAATTTTATGATGAGTGGTGCGCCAAAATACTTTCATCATAAACTCAAAATATTAATAATGTTGCCCACTGTACTAGTATATAATAAAAAATATTGGATATACATAGTAAATATAAAACCTAAATATGTAAACTAAAACGTGGATAATTCTATACAAAAAAAAACAATAAAAGACGGGTAGAGTATATATATTTTTATTAATCTTTATATATATAATTCTTCTGTGAGTGTGTATGTCACTGAACTTCTCTCAAACGACTGGACCGATTTTGATGAAATTTTTTGTGTATGTTCAAGGGGTTTCTTCATCTGAGAATGGTTTAGATTCACAATTTGAATAATAATTTTCATCAAAATGGTCCAGAATGTTTTAGCTTATTAAAAAAAGTTTGAAATTTTCAAATTAAAGACGTGTAGACAGGACAACGTCTGTCGGGTCAGCTAGTATATGTATAAGGGATGATAAGTTATCTTATTTACGTTATAAGCAATTTATTATTTCTCAGAAAATATAGTGTCGCTTCGTACTATGACGGTCGAGATCCAATTACAAGAGAGATTTAAAGGATAAACTATTAAAGCGTTATCCGAAACTTTTTATGAGGACATCAAATTAGATATCATTTTAGTGGAGCAATGGGATAGAGGCGGGTTTACACCCTTTTTACGATCATTGGATTATTAAGATATACTATAATAAGAAAATAATATCCTATAACTAGCTACCATCTGGTAGATTATTGGTTCACATTTATCTCTCTTTTACTAGAAACTGTTGATTTGAACTCCGATTTAAATACCGTTGCATAGTTAAACTAGCGACCCACCGTCCCTATTTACGTTTTAACGTTTAGTATAGATTTCTCTGAGATAAGATATTTCCTCACATTTAAAAGTACACATTATATGTTGATCCAGATAACCAGCTATCATTATACCAAATTTCATCAAAATCTGTCCAGTGGTTTTCTCGTGATGCTATCATAGACAGACAGGCAGACAAAAATTCTAACAACTATAGATTCTGCGTCTTAGCAACAGTAATGACTATTTCAATAAGACTTTCAAAAAATATTTAACGTACAGTTTTGACTCAGAATTTTATTATATATGTAGATAATAGATATATAGATAGAAGAGATAGATAAAAACAATAATTATAATAATGCTGCACCTACCTATTGCTATATGGTGACCATGAACTTCATGTTTCCAGGGTGTAATATCTCATCTATCCCCCGCCCCACCCCTTTTCGACCTCCTTCCTTTCTAACCTCTGGCTTACTTTGAATGCTCGTCCACAACGAGACGCAATTCAATATGAGACTGTTAAGAAAGTAAACTTTGGTAATCTTGTTGTTAAGTGTTTTTTTCAATCAGATTATATCTCATCGCTTATGTTTTATTTAAAAAAAAACCTTCTTTGAAACAAACTGAAAAGTTGTATTATGTAAATGTGCGATAAAGACTTTTAAGCGTTAGTTGATAACGGTTGATACTAGTTCCAATAGCTTTTATGAAAGCAGTAGTAGCATAGTAATATAAAGACATAGTTTAAAAAAGCTTATAGCAGCTAGGCATAAAATACTTTTTTCGATTTATGCCAATATTTGGCATTTTATATAAAACGATTGTTTTACAGGAATTACAATTAACAAATATTCTAAGGCTTTGGTGCCATTTTTTGTATTTTTGAAAATCATTATATAATATTGTGGGTAGGTGCTGTCTGTAACAACTATACAATGGCCTTTCAGACGTGTAAAGCCTTAATCTTTACCGTGACTAAGATTACTGTAAAGCATTCGAGACGTCGGGAACCAAAAATAAAATCTGCGAAAAAAAACCGAAAATATTTAGCTGGCATATTTTAAATATTTTTTATACCGAAGATATGCTAGCTTCTATAAATAAGCCAGTGATAATCCTGGGGCAATTTCCTACTATGACTCATAGATGGATCACAGCTGACGCATAACATTAAAACAATTTTAGTGAACCGAAGTCCCTGAAGTTAGTGCTTAGACAAGATGATCCATATTATGACTATGACATCCCGCTTAAATATGCCAACCCCATATTTTTTTGCCCCTTAAATAAAAAAATCGATGAATACAATTTTCGTACTAAGATTTTGTAAAGAGATCTTACATTTAAATAAAAATGGTTGCGTGTAACCTTTATGCAAGGTTGAAGTAAAATTTCTTTGGCAAATATCGCAATTAAATTAAATAATTAAAGAAGAAAAAATAACTAAATAAGACATATTAAGCATATTATAATCATATATTTATAGAATATCATATACGAAAAGAATATAATATTATATAATTATCAGAAAATAACAACGGTTACCGGCAACCGGCAACATGGCAATGTATTCTATCTCGTCCTCTCGCCGGCTCAATACTATACATTTATGTGTTTGTCTCATTTTAGTGTCGCATTTTCGTTTCATCGACTTTCAAATCACAACGGTTGAAAAGAAGTTTCACTTCAATAAAATATTTTCAAGTCTAACGAATCTAAAGCGGACCCGAGACGATCAATCGCAATTGTCAATGTCAATTGCAATTGTAGTGCGATTGATGCAGTTTTCAAAATGTTTGCGCTCAGTATGCTTTTTGGCATTGGAACAGTTGTACAGGCAGCTACGACCATTGGTGTAGAATATAGACTAGCTTTTCTTACCATTACTATGGATGTCTGTACTAAAAAGAAAGAAAAGAATAAAAGACGCTGGTGTAAACAGTGGTATACACTTAGAAACCGCTTCACTCTTTATTACGAGTACTGTAGGATACGGAACCAGAAGATTTTCTCAGAATGGACCAAGAAATATTTGAAACCTTGTTGGAGCTAATTCGGCCAAATATCGAAAAACAGAACACTTTAATGCGTGAAGCGATTTAGTCAGAGACTTTCTATCACGTTGAGATATTTGGCGTTTGTAATGGACTTAGAGGACTCGAAATGTTCATGTGCTATCGTCCCCCGGACGTTAGAAATTGTCATAATCGAAACTTGTGAAACTGTAATTGAGAAACTAAAATACAATATTAAGGTAGGTATACATTTTTTTAAATTAAATATTTATTTTCTAAAAGGAACTAAATTGTGCTAAATGTTGCGCTGCAGTACACGATTCCTCATTATTAAGAACACTGGTGGTGGCAGATGACGACGACGGAGTCTCATTAATGTGTATTTGAACTGGCTGGTCTGGTTAGGTGATAAATAATACGGATGCGATCTCGTGATGGAATATGAGGCGGGCGATGATTATTGGGCAGGCGAGATAGAAGGCGCAGGAGATACTGTCGGTGCCGATGATGATAAAAAACAGACTCCATGTCTTGTTAATGTGCCCATTTCTGCTTCAAAGAGCGTATCATTAATGATTTTTTCCGCATAGCGCCTTTGATCTGGCTTTAGTCTCTTTAATTTCATAGCCCAGCCTTTAGCTATTACATCAGATTCATTTTCTGATGGCTTTTTCAAATATGCTATGGCTAAATCAGTAAGTGCCTGAGTTGAATCTGGGGTTCTCTTTTGTCTTTTTAAAAGTGGCAAAGTCAGGTTAGCAGTTGGTGATTCTTCTGTTAGCGATTGCTGTAACAAAATAATAAAACTTTTTAAATTTATTTTTCAGTTACCACGATTTTTCAAATATAAGTTTTCATCAGAGATTCGGAAAGAAATAGCACAAGATTTTGACAACCAATGGATCTTTCACAATTACGTTGAAAGTATTTATGGGAAGCATATAGCAATAGAAAAACCCTCTTACTCAGGTTCTTACTACTACAACTATGAAGAAACCTTTAGTATTGTGCTAATGGCAATTGTTAATGCAAATAATTATCAATTCACAATGATCGATGTTAGATCCAATGGACGAATACCTCATGGTGGGGTGTTAAAAAATACAATATTTTGGTAAAAATTATCTCAAAGACAATGAAATATTCCTGAAGCACTTGAATTACCAGGCACAGATAAAGGGTTTCCATATGGATGCCATGCCATATGGCTTTATTGGTGATGAAGCCTTCCAACTGTTGCCAAACATTATGAAACCCTATAATATATCTGCACTCTTTTCAATTATAAAACTTATTTAAATTATAAAAATGGTTACAATTAAAATTAACCAGTATTGTAAGGTGCTTTGGTGTCATTTTTTAATTTTTGAAGTTATTCTTCTTTTGGGGCGTTTGGAGAAAATTATGAGAGCACAATTTTTAAGATGCACACGCACAACGACAGGCAAAAAGCGACATGATGAAGTTAGCTGATAACTGTTTGTTGCCCTGGTAACCGTTGTTATTATCTGACAAATTATAGGTATATAATATTATATTCTTTCCTTAAATGTTATTCAGTAAAGATATGATTGCAATATGCCTAATATATTTAATTATTTTATTAATTTATCATTCCTATTACAACAGAGGGCTGTGACACACAGGATAAAATCTTTAGCGTTTAAGTAGGTACACACACACACGTTTTTTTTATTCATTTTGTTATTTCATTTCAAAATTATTAACTACATTACTTTAAAATAATAAACTTTTAAAAGTACAAATATATTTTTGATTTACTCACCTCAGAAGATTCAAACTCTACTACATCTAGCTGGTCTTTTATGAATAGAAATTGATTAAAATACCATAAGGTGGGTTTTGGAATATCATCACTGGATGCACCTGATCTCTTAGCTTTTTCAATTTTTTGGTATTCTTTATTGAAATTTGTTCGCAGAACATTGATTTTCTTTTTGTATTTATCTTCATCAAAATCAGTTTTATAAGTTTTCAATACATTTACTATACTTTTCACTGCAAGACTTTTTTTGTGTTTGTTGGAATAATCTTTTGATTGGATTTTCCATAACTCTGGACGATCGTGGTATAAAGATATTAAAAGTGAAGTAAAATCCCGGTCCTCAATATTACGTGGGGTATCCGCCATGTTGTTAATTATTATTAATGATATTTTTCTAAAATAGTGGATAGGCACTGTCTGTAACAAGTATGTGTTTGAGACATCTATAACCTTAGTCTCTCCCGTGAACATGATTGCTGTAAAGCATTCGAAACATCTGGAACCAAAAATAAAAATAAATCCGCGAAATATTCCGAAAAGATAGTTTTATTTAAAATGTTAATAATTCGCGCAAATCTAAGAAAGTAGTAACTAAAAAAGTTATTTGCTGCTAGAGCTGTCAAAGATGAAAAAAATATTGCGACCCACGGTTTTAACACCATAATTGACAATATTTAGAATTTTATTATGGTATAAGAATTGGCCGAATTTTATTGCTCTGATGGTAGTACCCGCCGCTGGGTCAGGAGTCTCGCGAGACACGTAAACAATAAAGGGACCTTTGTTATCTTCAGAATATGACGTAGGACCGAAGAGAGATGGATGTATATAAATATGTTGAATAGTAGTTGTGTAAATAGCAGACGCTGGGTCAACAATCGTTTTCTTTAATGAGTTAGTAGTAACTTCATCGCTTTTACGCTTTCGGGATGAGGGAATGAGATACATTGATGGACAACCAGGATCCGGTGGATCCAGCGGGGGATCGGTTTCCATTGCTACTAAATACTATGTACACACAAAAATTACAGCACACAACACTTACCAATACCTAATTTACAGATGTTACAACTATATGTACTTTGAAAATAACACAGAAATCGCACAAATACGTGTGTTAACCAAAGCTAACGCAAGCGAAGTGAAACGATTTGCAATGACTCAGTATTCGATCAACTGACAACTTCAATGGCTCCTGTCATTTGATGCTCATCAATTAAAATTTCCATCGATTGCTTTCAATCACGTAACTGCGACTGACAATTGCTTCAATTGTACTCGTACTTGTAAACGATCAATGGCGATTGACAATAACGTAAAATTGACAATTGCGATTGATCGTCTCCGTTCCGCTTAATTTTAAGATATAAAGAGACGTGAATAACATCTTGTTTCTTAAACGCTTTACTACATAGAAGCAAAAATAAACTTTATTCAACTTAAACGAACTTAATTAATTTGTTTTACAATTTTTTTATTGTTTTACTATTTTTTAAATAGTGTGTGCATGCTGTTTGTTTTAATTTTCGATTTGTAGCAGTCAAATCAGGGTATATATCATGCTTCGGGGTCACGGAAGAGTCTTTTTGGTACCTGTGGCCCCGGCCTTAAGGCGAAGGAGGTGCTTTGTCAGGTTTTTTTAGTGGGTAGGCTGCCGCGCGTTTACCACCTTTGCACGGCAGGACCCACATAACCCGTCTCGCATCCCCCATTGGTGGGGCGGGTACCCGGGAACAGGGTTTTTCCTGACAGAAAAAAAATAGAGTATATATCATGCTAAAATTAGAAGTTTTTCCATTTGAAATGAAACTTTGATTATTGAAACACGCATAAAACCAACCACTATATTTTTTTTTCAATTTTCTAACATGACTCTCCAAAAATGGTTTTACAAATGATTTTAGGTTTCTAACTTTATAATTATTATGGAGTATCTTAAGTCAACTACTTACCCTATATATGGAATCCTGAAGCGGCCTTTAAACTTAAACTGATAGAAAATTAACAATTAGGTAACTTTATATAGTACTAACGACTCACCCTTGCTTCGCTCGGGTTCGTCCCTACTAACGTTTTAACGTTTAGTATTGATTTCTCAGAAATGAGATATTTTCCCGCAGTAAAAAGTATGCTATATATCGACCCGGATAACCAGCTATCTATAATCTATCCAATCGTTTTCTTCAAATGCATTCCCAGACAGACAGGTAGACAAAAACTTTAAAAACTATAGATTCGGCCTCTGTATTGATAATAATGACTATATCAATAATATTCGACTCAGAATTTTATTACATGTATAGAATATAGATATCTTAAACAATAATCGTTACGTTACGTTATATATTATTTAGTGATAACAGATATTAGATATGATAACATAAGAAAATAACATAAAGCACTCAATCCATTTAAACGCGAAGTACTAAATAAGGTTAGTATATCAAAATTATTCACCGTAGCGTCTAGTAATGCATCCTTCACAATGGATGCTACATTTACTTTACGACTTAAGGAAACTACCGTCTTTCAGAACTTTTAACGGTTCGTTTACATGCCTTATGTTTGCAGGTGAAACAATAACTCGTTAACATTCATATTTGATATTTCTAATCTATATATATAATAAAATTCTACCTAAGTCGAATCTGTACATTAAATATTTTTTGGAAAATCTTATTGAAATAGTCATTATTATCGATACACAGGGCGAATCTATGGTTTTTAGAATTTTTGTCTGTCTGTCTGTCTGTTATCGCATCACAGAAAAACTACTAGAGGGATTTTGATAAAACTTGGTATGATGATAGCTGGTTATCCCGGTCAACATATAGGATACTTTTTACTGCGGGAAAATATCTCATTTCTAAGAAAAAATACAAAAGAGTATACTAATATGTTTAATCTAAGCATTTGGTTTTTTGTCATCTGAACGCGGGCGGAGCCGCGGGCAATGCTAGTATTAATATAAGATAATATTTTGAATAATATATTACAAAAAATAATTTTTATAATAATTTTCAATTATTAAAAACTAGTTATTGCCAATGACTTCACTCGCATGTATATTTTTATTTAGTTCGATTACTCAACATGGTCTTGTTTTTTAGATGAGACTACTTGGAATTGGAAAGTGGTTGAGGATCTTTTACGATTCTTTATATTAAGTTTCTTTAAACAATTAAATACTGTGTCGAGCTTTTACTGTATGTGATTGGGATTATGTCATACTCCACAAAACGGGCCAAATCGCCGTAGACGGAACTGTTATAGAACTCGAAAACTATTTAAATTCTCTCACAATGTTTTACTTCACTATATCAGCAATAACAAAAAAATAAAAACCGACTTCAAACAAAAGCACTAAAAGGTAAAAATAACTGATTGGTAGTTTTCATTTACTATACATACCTAATCAAATATTTTCGAAGTCAGTGTGCTTTGCTTTGTATGGGCTGGCACCGATTTTGAAAATATTTGATTAGGTATGTATTTAATAGGTAGGCTTTAATTACTTAGCCAAAGCACACCGACTTCGAAAATATTTGATTAGATATGTATAGTAAATGAAAACTACCAATCAAATATTTTTTACTTTTTAGTGCTTTTGTTTGAAGTCAGTTTTTATTCTTTTGTTAAAAAGTTTTTATTTTTCCCTTTTTAGTGTAGACAGTAGTAGCAAAGTAAGAATTCTAACGTGTTAGGCTTGTCAAATCAATCAAAATAAGCCCAAACTCAAAGTATCTACTATTAGCCGTTGAAGAGTTCCACCTATCCACCTTCTGGCCTTACCATCAGATCAGATCAACAATTAGGGGTGGTTTTTTGACGGAGTTTTGAGGTAACAAACATAAAAAATAAAATAAAAAAAAACAGTCGAATTGAGAACCTCCTCCTTTTTGAAGTCGGTTGAAAAGTAATCTTAAATATAATAGAATTCACATTTAAAAAGCTCAAATGGTGCGTAAAAATATTAAATCTTAACTAGAAGTCTCTCAGATATTATATAAAGGGGTTATGAAGAAGTGGTCTATCTGAGGACGATACTCACCAGACAATGAATGGCGCCTCAAGATTAAGAAAATTGAACCCGCTTCAAGGCATACGAGGATAAAGAAGAATAATTCCGTTCACAATTGACGAAAAACCAAAAAAAACACACTGAAATTGAACATTCCTCCTTATTTGAAGTCGGTCAAATTAACTTAATTCTGATAAGACTGCATACGCTCTAAATGAATCAATCTACCAAATATAAGTACAATAAACAATACAAATATAGCTTTACAAGCTCTATTCTAAGCAATAATAAAAGAGAAAAATTCATGTTTTTATTTTACCACGAACTTTAATTCTTGCCGCTTGGTTTCTCAAATAGAACGAAGTAAGAAAAAGCACAGAGTTGAAAAATCTTAGTTTTACATTTCTTAAACAATCCACTATCAAAGTTCGAGTTTGTTCCCACGTATGTCTTTCGAAATTGCTGATGCACTGTAAACGAATTTAAAAGTGCCTGTGGAGCGTTTTCTACTGAATGATCGCAAATGTAAACAAATAAATGTGAATTCTATATTTGAGTTAAAATAACACTAGAAACGTATATAAAAACTTTTTTGCAAAAAAATAAGAACCTATTTCAAACAAAAGCACTAAAAAGTAAAAAATTACTGATTGGTAGTTTTCATTTACTATACATACTTAATCAAATATTTTCGAAGTCGGTGTGCTTTGGCTAAGTAATTAAAGCCTACCTATTAAATACATACCTAATCAAATATTTTCGAAATCGGTGCCAGCCCATACAAAGCCACGACGACATGTTTGGCTCAGTTCTTAGTAACCCTGCTTGCTGTGCCAGCGGTCGCGGGTTCGAGTCCCGCTAGGGGCATTCATTTGTGTGATGAGCACGAATGTTTGTACTCCAGTCATGGGTGTTTATATTTATAATATGTATGTATTTAAAATTATATATATGTAGTGTATCAACTATCTGGTATCCATAACACAGGCCTCGTAGCTTACCATGGAATTAGATGGTGGTGTGTGTTAATGTCCCAACATATTTATTTATATTTATCTCTGAGAAATCGATACCAAACGTTAAAACTAAAGTAGGGACGAACCCGAGCGAAGCAAGGGTGAGTCACTACTCTTGTATATAAATAGGTATCTCGCTCACAATTTCCTCAGAAGTCTCAAATCATTCCAAATTAGGACAATTATTGCAAAGCTTGATATTCTTCCACAAGAGTTAAATAATAAAGGTATAAGAAGATAATCACCAGAGAAGATGGGTCAATATTCAAACCATATAGTGTTTAAATAGAGGATCTGAAAGCTCTTTATTTTTAGGCTTCCATATCCAA